GCGGACGAAAACTCGGACGACTTCGGATCTACCAACGGACGGACTTCTATTGCATTCACCTCATCAAAATTCTGCCGAGATAGGCTATCAGGAACAACATTAAGTAATCCTTTCCTATGTTCTATTTGGAAACGGTAACCCTGCAATTTAAGTGCCCACCTGGCTAATCTACTAGACAAATCGGTTTGCCGCATAAGCCATTGTAAGCTGGCGTGGTCGGTGACGATCTTGAAGTCCTGTCCCTCAACGTATGCTCTAAACTTCTTTAAACTGAGTATTGCTGCCAGACACTCTAACTCAGTGACGCTATAATTACTCTGCGCTTTATTAAGTTTTTGCGAGAAGTAAGCAATAGGGACTTCAAGGTCTTCGTCATTTTTCTGTAACAGCACCGCCCCAACACCGAGCTTACTGGCATCACACTGAATTATGAAAGGTTTCTCATAGTTCGGGCTTGCCAGAACTGGTGCAGAACATAGCATTTGCTTCAATTCTTCGAATGCTTTTTGGGCTTCTTCGGTCCATGAGAATGATTTACCTTTCTTGAACAGATTGGTCAATGGCGTAGTGATCGACGCAAAGTTATCAATAAACCGCCTATACCATCCAGCCATTCCTAAAAACCGTCTCAGTTGCTTTACAGTGGCTGGCACTGGGTAGTTCGTCACAGCGGAGATTTTGTCAGGGTCGGCTCGTAAAGTTCCATCACCCACTATGTATCCTAAATATTTTACCTCTTTGATACAAAATTTGCTTTTTTCAATATTTATTGTCAAACCGGCTTTTCTCAAACGGTTAGCAACCTCGGACAAAACGGACATGTGTGTGTCGAAATCTTCGGACACAATTAGGAGATCGTCTAAATAAACGAACACTTGATTCTTTAACACGGGAGGAATGACGCGATCCATCAAACGGCAAAGCGCTTGAGGAGCGTTGCATAAGCCGAAAGGCATTACACAGTAACGATAAAGCGGACGATTTGGAACAGTAAAGCAGGTGTAATCTCGGGAACTTTCTGCAAGAGGTATCTGCCAAAAGGCTCGACGCAAGTCTAGTGAACTAATATACTTTGCCTTAGGTATCCTACTTATAATACCATCAATATGGGGAAGGGGATATGCGTCCTTTATTGTAACGCTATTAACTTTCCTAGAATCTAGACACAGACGGACTTTATTTGACTTTTTTCACTAGAACAATCGGACTGGACCAAGGACTATTTGGAGACTCTTCGATTACACCGAGGCTCAACATTTCATCAATTTCTGCATGGACAAGTTTTTCCACTGCAGGGGATATCGGAAAATATCTCTGTTTAATCGGACGGACACCAGGTTGGAGTTCTATAACATGCTCCATGAGAGATGTTTTACCTAAGCCTTTTTTCTCGAAGTTAGGAAATCTATTTCTAATAATTTTTAACTTATTTTGTTGCTCACCATTTAGAGGAAGGGTATTTTCATAAC